CTCTCGCAGTTCTGGGGGAGAGAAGCCTGAATCCAAGGTGACATCAGGACTGTGTTCTCTCTCGAGGCTCCAGGGAAGACTCCTCCCTTGACTCTTCCTCCGTCCTGCACTTGCCAGCATCCCTGGCCTTCTTTGTCTTGAGGCTGCATCACTCCAGCCTCTCCCTCCGTCTTCGTGTGGCCTTGCCCTGTGTGTCTCTGTGTCGCTGGGTCTCACCTTACAAGGATACTAGTCATTGGATTTGGGGTCCACCCTGATCCAGTATGTCCTCTTAACTTGAGTACACCTGGAAAGACCCCATTTCCAAATCAGGTCACATTCACAGGTTCTGGGCAGACACGAATTCGGTGGGGGGGGGGCATTATTCAACCCAGTACACATGCTAATGTTAGAACTGTGGTTCTCAGTTACATTTTAGACTTTCTCTGCGTAGAATAAAATTATCCAATGACTGGTTGACATGAGAGAACTATTCAGTGAAAACCAGTCATACAGTAACAGCAACAAAAGAAAGGACTTGCCCACCGGTACTTGCAGGCTTATCATTTTCAATAATACCATAAACTTTATTTTACTGTTTGAGATTCCTCCAGCATTTCACCAAGTCTTCCCTTCCCAGTCACCGTCTTACTCTCTCTTTCCAAATGTGGTATAAATTGCTCTCCTTAAGTTGGAAGTTCAGTGGGCATGGAATGACTTTTTCTTAATCTGCTGAGCTTTTTCTCGCACGGTGAGATGTGCTGGCTCCTGAGCTGGGGCTCTTACCCACTCCTTTCTCCTGTTCTTTTCATTGTATCTCACTGTCGCTTGTCTCTACTGGGTCTAGTGGTCCGTCTTACGGGTGAGCAAGGTCTGCCTCTAGTTGTGAGCAGCGTACCTGCAGCCTTAGCCCGGCCCAATCATCCGTCTCCAACCAAAATGAAAATCTACTCTATTGACAGGATGGGGTGAGAAGAGGTGGTGGAAGGAGGGAGAGGTTGGAAGTAGGAGAGATGCGGGCACGAACCAGAGAGAGACCTGTAACTGTGTACCTTGTTACATTGTTTGCATTTTTGAACCATGGAAATAGCTTTACT